CACTTGACCTCCGTATTTTTCAGACATTATCTATTCTAGTTTCTCTCGTTCAAAGTTAAAATTAAAAAAAAAAAAGAAAAAAAAAAAAAGAAAAAAAAAGAGCTTCGCCCATACGATATTACAATGCTTTTTTCCATGTCATTATCATTTATTCAAACAATTTTATCAACAATAATATCTATTCGATATCTTGTCAATTGGATGACTCGGAAATGCACATTTCTGAGTCAATACGAACGAGGAAACAGAAGTCAACGATAAGATACAAAGAAACTGGAAAGGGTTCCTTGTTTTCGTGGTTAAAAGATCAGTGAAGTAAGACGATTCAGGATTAAAATGTTTTAGGGTAAACAACAACAACAACAACAAAAAAAAATTAGATGATTAGGTTATAAACGCCCCAAATATATCAGTTTTAGAATGGAAACTCGCGTCTGTTTCTTATATATCAAAAGATTAATTATTGTATTCATTTTTCCCGCCAGATTCTATTTTTTTTTTATTCTTCGTTGGGGCAATAAATATAATTCGTACTTGTTACATTATCACTATCGTCACTGAATGATAAAACGGTTGTTCAGTTTTCGGAATTAATGATAGGTTACCCATCAATTGAAGCAGTTATAATATTTCAAATGATGCAACCTAACCATATTTAACCAATTCCGATATAATACTTTCATTATGCATTGGATATTTTATTTCAAAAGGGATATATATATATATTTAATTAATTTTGAACCACAATCGAATAATTATGTAGCCCTATTGGTCATAAAATAATATTAAAAAAGAATCCAGTATAGTGAATAATAATAATAATAATAATAATAATAATAATAATAATAATAATAATAATAATAATAAACAGCCAAAATGCAGGTTCTAGACAAATACCAAGAAACAATAGACCATCTAATCTCAGGATGTTCTATACTTGAAAATGAATATAAAAAATCGTCAATAGAGTGGGGCAATCTTCCAAAACACTAAAATTTTTCACCACTTACAAAATAGAGATGTCAGATTATACCATCCACACAGACAGAAAAATTGAAGCAAATAGGCCGGACATTATTGTCAAAAAACAGAAATACTAATTGATATGGTTGTCCAGCGGATTGTAAGGGAATTTGAAAAACTATCAAAATACAAAGTGAAATAAAAAATTGGAAATTGAAAACAAGAATAATACCAGTGGTAATAGGTGCACTTGGAATTATAAAATGGAACAAAACAACACATTGAAAAGAATCCTGGAAACCCCAGCTTAAGAGACATACAAAAATTGTCTTATTAAGTACAGCACACACACTAATTAAGAGAACTTTGTCTATGTAACGCTTGCAACTTCATCGGAGATAAAAAAAAAAAAAAAAAAATTAACATGAAATGTACATAACAACACACACGACCTGCCTGAATAATAATAATAATAATAATAAAAACAAAAAAGATTGACGTAACTTCTTCCAATATTTTTCACCACTCAAGAGAAGAACGCGATTTTTAAAAGGAAAAAAACAGTGTTTGACGATGTTGAAGTTTCGATAAATTTTTAAAAAAATTCAAGTATAAAAATATATAAATCTTATACTTAAAATTTTTTGCCGATTTATATATCTTTATACGTGAAATTTAAAAAAGAACCTGAAGAAGAAATTGAAATATTGAGATGTCGAAATATTTTTTGACTTTGTCAAACATTGTTTTTCTTTTCTTTTCTTAAAATAATAATAATAATAATAATGATGATGATGATGATAATAATAATAATAGCATCAGAATTAATTTATGTTAATTACAACAGCCATATTATTTATTTAATTATAATTCAATTTAATTAGAAGATTTTGGCGGTCAAGTTTAGTTTAGGCGAGCATGCGCCAAATAAGAACGAATGAACACACGTGGAGTGACTTGATTGGCTGGAGCAGCGCGGAATAACTGTTCAAATTGTCGCTTTGCGCATGTCTTTTCGGAGTATTGCGGTCGAGGTGCGGCAGTTTTATCTTCAGAAGCTGATCGGGTTACTGATGGATAGAGTTATATCATCTAAAAGCCGAATCCCGCATTGAAACTAGAAAACCCGCCTCAACGTATCCTTATGAAAATATTTCTTGATCAATAAAAAGAAGTCCTTGTGTTTGTTTTAATCCAGACCGCAATTTGAATTTGCTTATTAGAGTTCAGTGCCCTGAATTTTTTTCTTATTGATAATGGCTGTTTGAAAAAGTTTTTTTTTTTATTGATTCGACCTGTAAGTTCGGATATATATATATTTTCCCAGTCAATATTGAGATTACCAATTATTTCAAAGGTAATCAAGGACTTTTCTATATAATTTTAAAAGCGTTTTTTTCTTCTCTCGTCTAAAAGAGTTAACTCCGCTGTTATAAGTTACCCTACTCTTTCTAATTACTAAGGATACTGTAAGTAAGTCTAATATTTTATTTTGAAATAAATAATCAGTTCTCTTTCGTCTTCAATCGACCCTACAAACATAACGGCAAAAAATGAAAGAATTTTGAAAGTGCAATAAACAAATTTACAAATTACAGGTTTTAAGTACCTGTACAGATTGAGAATTGCTTTCGGCTAATTTGAAATACGGGGCTGTTTGAAAAGCCCGGTGCTTTCTCTGAATTAAATTTCTTAAGGAAATTCTGGTTGAAAAAGAACTTTGAGCATTACGGTCAATGAAAGATATTTTGAAGAACTCTAGTAAAAATGTCTGCTTTATAATTGGAATTAAAAAAGAATTGGAAATATATACGGACTTTGTTTTTTTTGTTTTTTTTTCTATGAGTAGAATCTGGAATTATATATGCCATTAATTCTTTTTTTTTCTTCCTCGCATTCTTTAAAAGGGTTCTATGTATCTGGGCAAAAGTTAAGGTAAAAAGATCCAGATTTTATTTTTTTTTTTAAATACAACTACAAAGTATAAACCTCTGGAGAGTGGTGAACAGTTGATCTTTTCAATGATTTATTAAGCGTAGCTTAAATGGGGGCATAAAGCCCCAAATATGGATGATCCTGTGAGGATCGAACTCACTATTTAGTTGTAATTGATTTAGCGAAACAAGTTACACCACGTTGAAGTGCTCCAGATTCTGCTTTATTTGAAAATGGTTGTGCCAAAATTGTGACAACAGTACAAAGAATCATGTTTAAGAATTTCATGATAATTCTATAAACTTTTTAAAACGTCAAAATACGGAAATCAGCACTGTGGGTAACATTTGTTACTAAGATAAGATCCCTGCCCACCAAGAGCTGGGTACCGCCTACTGATTACAAAAATGAGTGAGAGATTAATAAATATTTTGGTTGATGAGAGAATAAAGAATTAAATTAAAACCTCCATTTTGATAAATACTCGGTTGATCATAAAGCCCTGACTCATTTAAGAAGCGGAAAGAAAACAACAAATCTTGATCTTTGTTTGGTGGAATTTCCAAGGTGTACTGCATTTCGAGCTTGTTCGACACGATCGCACCATTAATGTTAAACTGTACTGTCAGCAGCTGGACAGCGTGTTCGACAAATTAAAAGAGTATCCTGCTTTGGTCAACCAAGGTTGGACTTTGTTTCAGCAAGTCAATGCGAGGCCGTACACTGCCAGATTGACTAAGGAGAAGTTCAAATAGATTGACAGTGTTGAGATTCTTCCACATCCACCGTTCAGTCCCGATGCTGCTCCGAGTGACTATGGCCTATTCCGCTCAATGGCACACTTCCCCCGCGATCAGCGATTCAACACTTATGATGAAGTGAAGGATGCTTGTTTACAGTTTTTTCATTCAAAGCCATCGGACGGGTATCTGGGACAGATTCGGATGCTAGCTGATCGCTGGCAGAAGATCAATGAGAATGATGGACTTTATTTTGAAGAATAAATGTTGGTGTTGCTGTATAAAATGTTGTTGTTTTCTTTCCACTTCCTAAGTGAGTCCGGACTTTCTGGCCAAACTAATAGTTAACAAATGAATAATTTTATATTATCTTCTGGTTGTTCCAGATTGAGGAATATACTAGAAGTTTACAGAATGTTTAGATAGCTGATATACAATCAATATTTTTTAAAGAATTTATTTAAGACTTCGTTCTTTGAGAACGGGGTGTTTTTTTGTTGTTTCAGCCTGATCAAAACTAATTTTGCATTGTCACATTGTACCTTGTATCGCGGTTATTTTTTGTTAATTTAAAAAAAAAATTAGTCTAGACATCAGGTTGGCAAATAGGAAAAAACAACGGTTTGATTGGCATTTTTTAAAAATAAATTAAAAAAACCTTGAAAGGTTACGTAATCGGGCTACTATCATTGATTATTCGAACTGATTGATTTTCTCGGCACCGATTCAAGATGATTATTGATAAGTAGTAGTTGGTGGTTGCATTGTTTAGAATCTTTTGCATCGCAATAGCTATAGTCATGGACCATACTTGCCTAGAGAATTCTAAACTTTCTCCGATAGCAGACAACGTATATTTTGACAATGTTTACAGGCCTTGACGAAACCTGAGGACATTAAAAATTTAAATTTGGAAATCAAATATTTTGATTAAATAGTGACAATTAAAACCCACTCATCTTTTTACACAGGGTACCCCAAAAGTCAGCCTTGGTATTTAAAATATAACAACTCTACATATTTTTCATACTTTTTATTTATTTTTCTAAATTCAATGTTTTATGCAATAAGATAAGATTTGATTGATTAATCAATTTTCTACGGTTTATCAACCCTTTGAAGGTTATTTAAAGCCAGAATGTTTTTTTTTTAGAATTTAAGTATTTTTTGCAGGAAAATAATAATGATCTACTGATACAAGTCTTACTAATTAACCCATAGCTGGGGGGATAAGAGGGTGATTCCCACATTCCCAAGTGTATTTGCATGTAAGTCAATATAACGAACCAGATTTGAATTGGAACATGGGTCTCCGATTAACAATTCCGAGCCATTATCTATTACACCAACCGCGCATCTGAGCTTACAGTCCCTGGTATTCCCAAGCGGTCACCCATCTAGCTACTGACCAGGTTTGGCGTTGCTTAACTTCATTGATCGTACGGGTACGGGAGTTTCAACGTGATGTGGGTATAAGCCCGTTACACCGTCCGTAGATCTAAGTTTACAGTAATCTGGTATTCCCAAGCGGTCACCAAGACCAGGCTCGACGTTGCTTAACTTCGATGATCGTACGGAAACCAGTGTTTTCAACGTAATCCCATTAAACTACACGTATATCCAAGCTTATTACACCTGGTATTTCCAAGCAGTCACCCATCTAGGTGCAGACCAGGCTTGACGTTGCTTAACTTCGGTGATTGTACGGGAACCGGGGTTTCAGCGTGATACGGCCGTAAGCCCTTTATACCACCCGCGCAACCAAACGTACAACACCTGGTATTCCTAAACGGTTACCCATCTATGTATTGACCAGGCTCGACATTGCGCACTCTGCCCAAAGACAGACGCAACTGAGAGATGATAAGCCTGCGTTAAAATCCCTCCAAAGAGGAATTTTTACGCTAACCCTACTCTACAGTAATTTACAATATCTATCACTTTTCAGGTTTAACTAATTTGCATATTGATTTAAAAAAAGTATATTTCACTAATTAACTGGTCTTCATTACTATTCTTTTATTCAAGGATTTTAAAAAAATTTTCAGATCAAAAAAATTCTGTTTAGGAATATTGTCTTATATAGTGCAGAAAAGTATTTGAAATTTTGCATTTTACTTGGCCTTCAACAAGTTGACATCTATTTGTAAAACCATAACAAGCCTGTCCCCACGCCCGACTAATTAATTTCTTTACAGTGATATTCTTTGAACAATTATATTAAACGTCAACAACCTCTTCAACATTTCATAAATAGTGAACATTAATCCCATAGAAAAACAACTAATTTTTCCTAGAAAAATTACCAGATAGCGAGCGGACGAGGGCTGCTAAATACGGTAAATAACATGAAGTTATGAATTTAACCGTATTATTTTTTTTTAATCCTTTTTATAGTCGTATATGTTGACTTGGGAAAGTAGTAATTCTTTCAGGGATGGAGGTATCGATTAAATATCCAGGGCGCAGATTTATATTTTCATAAGAATCGATAGCGGCACTTTCGAGAATTTTCCTTCTAAATAAATAGCTTTCTCTTTTAATAAGTGTGGCATTTTTTAGATTAAAGTTGTGGTTGAATTTATTTCTATGTATAACTAATGCATTTGATAAATTGTTGTGCATATGATACTTTTGTTTTCATAGACACTTTTTAAAAAAAATTTCTGCAAGTTTCCACACTGTATTGTGAGGAGCAGTTCAGGCAACTTATGTTATATATTCCTGCTTCAGAATTATTACTGTTATAGGTGTATTTGGTTCTGATCATATCCATAATGGTTTAAAGAGGAATAAATTTTTATTAAATTTTCACTCTGTATAAAAGAAATTTATGTTAAAATTACTGAATTTTTAAAATCCGTAGATGGCATCTGGTACACCCTGTATATTAAGGGAGGTTCGACTCTTTGAATTGGTCTGCATATATCGTATTTAGTGATTAGCACTTTATGGAATATCTTGAATGGTCAAAAAAAAAAAAAAGAAGATTTTCGACAATGGAATATATGCACATTGGAATCAATATTTGAAACAAAAAAAAAAAACATTAATATAGTTTGAGAATCCTTTTTCTGAAATTCCAAAATCTGAAAACCTCCAAAATCCGAAATTTTTTCAGGCGTTGACATGACTTGCCACAAATGGAAAATTTCAGAAAGTATTGGGAATATTCCTAGATTGTGTGCAGCTGTTGTAAATGACCTAGGTAGCCTAAGTTGGCATCAGGTTTTTTTTTTTAGCAATCGTCATAGCAAGACATTCTTTCGTGTATTAATCATCAAGTATTTTCAAAATTATTCAATTATTCAAAATGTCAAAAAGTCCAGCATTTATATTTTTTTATAAGTAATGATCATGGTTTTTGTACACGTACAGAAAGTACAAAATATTATATTTACGTGAAATCTTAATTTCACCACTGAAAATTCGTGTGAGTATTACATGACTAACATCATTACCTGTGTATGTATGGACAGAAGATTTATTCAATTTTATGTAAAACTACCTTCAGGGTATATGTCTAAGCTGTAATTGAATATGAAGGGATATTGTGCTTATGCTTGAGTTCCATTCCCAAGCTGCTCCATTTTATAGATGCTATATACAAATTAAACAGTCTGTATTCCAAAGTACGAAATAAAATCTAAAAACCGAAGCACTTCCGGTCCCAAGAATTTTGGATAAAGGATTCTTAACCTGCATTACGAAAGATTAAAATTTTATACAACGTATATTTTAAACCGCATCAGAGATATACTGAACATATGCAAAGCTTATAAATTGTATATTAAAAATCATCTAATCTTTATATTAAATCATTTAATCCTTATATTAAATCATTTAATCCCTATATTAAAATTGTCTAATCCCTACATTAAATCGTTTAGTCCTATATTAAAATCATCTAATCCCTATATTAAATCGTTTAATCCTATATTAAAATCATCTAATCCTAATATTAAGTCATCTAATCCCATATTAAAAATCATGTAATCTCCATATTAAATCATTTAATCCCTATATTAAAATCATCTAATCCCTATATTAAATCATCTAATCCCTATATTAAAAATCATGTAATCTCCATATTAAATCATTTAATCTCTATATTAAAATCATTTAATCCCTATATTAAATCATTCAGTGCATATATTAAAAATCATCTAATCTTTATCTTAAATCGTTTAATCACTATATTAAAAATTATCTAATCCTATATTAAATCATCTAATCCCTGTATTAAAAATCATCTAATCTCTGTATTAAATCATTTAATCCCTATATTGCAAATCATCTAATCCCTATATTAAATCATTTAATTCCTATATTAAAAATCATCCAATCCCTGTATTAAATCATCTAATCCCTATATTAAATCATTTAATCCCTATATTAAAAATCATCCAATCCCTATATTAAATCATTTTATCCCTATATTAAAAATCATCTAATCCCTATATTAAATCATTTTATCCCTACATTAAAAATCATCTAATCCCTATATTAAAACCTGCATACTGAATTTTTTTACTTATCACCTGTATATTGAAAATCCGTACTGCGTATCGATAATCTGATATGGGTGTGCGGCTAGTGCAGCGGATATCGGCGCGGAAAGTGGAATCGTCGAACCGAGTTCGAACTACTGGTCAGGGGGTTCCGTTCACTTTTCGTATTAATGCCCTTGGGAAACGCACGAATCCGTCTCTTTCTTGGACGGCACCCATTACAAGAGACGAAGAATTCTAGATGTGAAACCGTGGAGGAGGCAACGGGGCACTACTCCAATATCTTTCCCAAGAATACGTCGCATTTCACAGATAGGAATGGAAGGAAAAGGAATCTGTGCAAAACCATGAGAAGATTTCTGAAGAAAACGTGGCATTAATACAAGTTATATATGAAAATCTAATACGCTGTATATTAAAAATGTTATTGACTATATATCAAAAATAGTAAATATCTTATAAGCGGTACATTTGAAATATTTTAAGGTACTTTTGCAAATTTTAGCAGTATTCTGAAAATCTTATTAAGTGTATATTGAACATATTATAAGTTGTATCTTATTAACTGTATATTAAATGCCTTATACGTAGTATAATTAAATCTTATTAGCGATATATGTAAAACAACTTTTTAGTCGTATATTAGAAATCTTAGGTGGGTGTTACAAATCTAACAAGCTGTATATTGAAAATCTTATTAGCTGCATACAAAATCTGGTAAGCCGTATATCAAAAGATTACAAGCCGTATAATGAAAATCTTATACACCATTTATTGAAAATCTTATACTCCATTTATTGAAATTCTTATACACCATCTATTTTCAGTTTAAAATGCTGTTAATGCACTTGAGTTATTCTTTTGTGGGAATATTTTAAAAAAAAATTATTGGCGTTTTGTCTGTGAGCATTTGGTAACGTTGATTCGAGTAGCTTATAATTTGTATCTCTAGCAAATTGTACCCTACGCATTTCATCTATAGCAACTACAGCTACAATTAAAACTAAGTACTTATGTTATACAAATGGCGTGAACATACTCACGAAATCAATGTAGAATTCAATAATTTCATGCAATTTATAGGAGCTGAACTTCATGCATATTAAAATAATGTACTTGTTTTAAAATAACCAACTATTTATAAATATATATATATATATATATATATATAATGAAGTAACGGATTTGTTTATTTATTAATCCGACAGATTTTATCACTTTAAATGTGATCTTTTGTAGATACCAATATTTGTGTAGATGCCCCATTTACTTATTAAGCGGTATATTTATTTTATTTTTATCTATCGACATGAATTTTTTGTGAAATCCTATCAAAGAAAAATACGCGCTCTCCGGCAGGATTCGAACCTGCGTCCCCCTGGGCATAAAGTGAACCATTGTTTGAACCAACGTGCCGTATCCATTTCCGGTCGGAGAACGCATATTTTTCTTCGAGAGGATTTCTCGAGTGTTCTGGTCGGTAGACGAAAATAAATAAATATACTGCTTAATAAGTAAAAGGAGCGTCTACCCAAATATGAGTATCCACTAAAAATAACTTTTAAAGTGATATATATATATATATATATATATATATATATATATATATATATATATATATATATATATTACATTTAGTCAGAAAAAATCCAATCAAAATTAAATTTTATTGAATACAATCATAAAGGTTTGTCCCTTTTTTTTATTATTATATTTTTCCAATTTTCAAATATGTTGTTATACATCCAAGTCAAGTTTTTAGAGAGACTGTCCAAATGACATGTTTTTGTTTGTCCATTGTCGACCATCTGTGTTCATGATTTGGGACATTATGTTGTCAATATCTTAGAGAAAAAGTTTTGATTTCTTTAAAAGATGACAGTTTTTCTTTTGGAATGCTGCATTTCAATTTTTTAGAACCGGTACATTTGAAATCTACATATACGTGTACCGTA